TATATATATATATATATATACATGTATACACATATATACACACACATTTTTAAAACAAAATTGGGGTAATAGTAAACATTTAGGCATTCTTTTTTTTTTTCTTTCATTTAGCATGATGTCACTCCCCATGCAATTGAGGCTACTATTTTAAATAGCTTTATGATAATCTATCATATGGATATGCCATACTTTTATTTGTTCCCTTATTGTTACATATTTGGATTTTTTTTTGTTTGTTTCAAGAATTAATGCTGTGATGAGCATATCTGTACAAGAATCTTTGCTTGAGATGACAATATTTTGGCCTTTTCCAGAGTACCATAGGGACTGGTTTTCAGGGGTGGAGTAGGAGGCCTAGCAATGTCTATTTGAGTAAAGGCTGGATTCTTCACACTACAATCTAAGCTCCCAGTTATTTATGCAAGGCCAGGGGACTTAAAATAGCCTTCCTGCCACAGGTTGGTTAAGTTGAACTAGATCTGTATTAGCTAATAAACCGGATCCAGCTATAGATGACCCTGACCACAACCAACAGCCAGGTCTATTTTAAGCCATATTGCTAAGTGGAACAGGTGGTTGAAGGAGTGTGTTAGAAGTGTATTTTCCCTGGTTTTAATCAATAAACAGAGACAGGATCAGAGATGACCATCCTAGAAAACTGAGATACTTTGAAGTCATTCACCCAACAACTAAGTAGCCATTTTTTCAGTGGGAAACGAGAACTAAACTTTTAAAAAATTGGTTTACTCTGCTCATAGGCCAAAATGCATACTTCAGGGCACATCACTCATTACAATCTAATACCTGCTTAATGGCTACTGAAAAGGGAGGCATTAGTAGCTCTATATACCATAAATGGTAAAAAAAAAAAAAGACAGGTTGCTAACTTGTGTTTTTAAGTCTGATCATATGAGCCATTCCTTACCATACTTTTGTGATCCAGCAAAGAAAGAACGTGTAAGAACAAAGGGTCTCTCCTTTCCCTTAGATCGTTGTATCAATCCTTCTGCAGTAGCCATTTGCTATAAAGTCAAAGGAGATTTTTCAAAAAGACAATTGGATTAGGGCATTGTGCAGACATCCCCAATAAACTATTTAACATGCAAAAAGTAAATAGTAGATGGGAATGTGAAATGGAAAATATTAAAATAAATCCATTAAACAATTTTTATGATATAATGAAACTACTCTAAACTCCCCTATTAAACAAATGGAAAATTTTCTTTGATTACAATAGCAATGAAATAATAGTAGTAAATTAGCATTTGTTTGGTGCTTACTATTGCTAGACATTTTATAAGATTTTCTCTTATAATCTACACAACAACCTCTAAGAGTTTTCATTGATGAAAAACACTGAGATTCAGAGAGGTTAACTGACTGGCCCTGGCCTACATAATAAAATTCTCTACCAATTAAAGCAAGAGGCTGTTAGAGAAATAAACACATTCTATCTGAAAACCATACTATATCTAGCCAGCAGCTCCCACTGGAAACTACCAGTTGGTGGGAGGATCATAAAAACACAGTTACATTCTGAAAATAACAAAAAGCCATGGGTATAAATTAGGGAAAGTGACTGCCAAGTCATTTTGGATGTGATTGGCAAATGGAAGGCAACTCTACCACTTTCTATTGAGAAGATGTTTCTATGCTATCATTAACCTTACAATATCTGCAAATTCAAGTTCATTATCGAAGGAAAAGATGCAAAGGGACAAATAATAAGTATTATATTGGCTACAACCTGATAAGACTCATTGCAATTGTCAGAAAAGACACACAAAGAGCAATGAATGGCATAGTATGGCGATTACAAAGGAAATGACTTTCAGCCCAAAAGGCAGGCACATGGGTGCAGCTGGCTTCATTTTGGGTGTCTTACCTGATAAAAACCATAGATGTTGTGAAGTTCTCTGTGCTCCCAGTTGCCATGATGAATGGCATTCTTCTGCATGGTTTGCTCTGGCCCTCTAAAGACAGAAGGCTCATTCATGTCATTCCATATGTAGAGGATGTCAGTAGATCCCTAGAAAGTATATCTTGGTCAAGATAATACTCCTACAGTGATGATGTTAATATGATAGCCTTCCCTATTCCTCTCTCCTACTGCACTTAATTTATTATGTTTATTATCTGCTCCGTCCTCTGCTCCACTGCTAGAATAAAAAGTTCCACTGGGCAGTGAATTTGTCTCTTTTATTCATTGATAAATCCCAAACACCTAGAATAGTAACTGAACCACAGGAGGTTCTCAGTAAGTATTTGTTGATGAATAAAAGAGTACTGTGCTCTGTTGTTTGTGAAATACATGTTTTCCAGCAAGTCCACTCGGATCTACACGGAGAACCCCCACTGGAAAGCGTGTGCATGTTCACAGTTAGGCTCTATATCATCCGTCATCTGCTACAACTCTTAACCACAGGAAGGGCAATTGTAGTTGTATGTGATAAAATTCTGCCTTCCCTTTAATACTTTGAGAATTGACAGCTAAGATACCTGTTTGTTACAGCATGACCTGTAGTTTGTGTTCTACACAGAATTGTTCAATTTAGAGTTGGAAGGGTCAGTTGAGTCATCTAGTTAACATGGTGTTACAATCCCATTATAGAATCCCTGGTCTTTCAGCATTTGACTCAATAGTTACAATGACAGGTAGTCCCTTAGGCAGCTCATTCCATTAATTTCTGAAAGTCCTATTCCGGGTAACATCCTCTCGCAGGGCCTAGCTTGCCTCTGGGATACCACAGAATACATCTGCTGCCTCATCCACATGATAGTCTTTCAAATGCCTGGAGGAGGCTTATGAATTTTCTTTTGACTCTTTACCTTCAATGATTTCTAAACATGTGTACTTTTACGAACAAGGCTATATGGTTTTCAAATGTTTAACTACCTTGACTATTCATCTTTAGCACCCTCTAAGGCAAGTTTGGCAAACTTTTTCTGGTAAGGGCCAAATTTTCAACTTTGCGGGCCAATAAGGGCTCTTTTCCAATAATTTGACTCTACTATAGTAGCGTGAAAGCAGCCATAAACAAGAGGGAAATGAATGAGTATCTGGCCCAAGCATTGTTCATCCCTACTATAAGCTGTTTTCTGTGTCCCTAATACATGAAGCTCAGAATCTAGAGATTAGTGGTTAAGATCTGGGCTTGGGAGACAAACAGTTCTGAGTTCAAATCTTGGGTCTGCCACTTACTAGATGGATGAACTTAGCAGGTTTTTAAACTTGTTCATGCCTCAATTTCCTCATCTGTGGTATTAATTATAGTTCAAACTTCAGAGGGTTATTGTGAAGATGAAATGGTATATGCACAGAAAGCGTTTAGCACACTGCTTGGCAAATAGCAAGTACTCAATTTATCTTAGAAATCATTATTATCATCATCATAATTGGTTGAAAATAGTTCTCTAGATGTGGCCTTTCCTGTTCTATCTGTGGTTCTTATATTTAAGAATTATTTCATAATTATACCTTACTTTTAATAACATACTTTGCAAGATATTTTCACATACGTATCTTTAATAGTTATACAATGCTATTTTATACAAAAATTTATATAGTAATTTGAAAATTAATAAACCTCTATTATTAAGTACTTTGATATATCATAGAGTCTATTATTTTAGAGGTCAAAATCACAGCTTTTGTGCATGTAAGAATACATATGGCACCTGTCCTGGCACCACGAAAGTCATAATGTGGTTGCCGTCCTTGCCTTTTCATACAAGCATTATTTATCACGGGCTACTCAATGAAGCAGAGTATAGTAATGGTTTGCGAGCATAATTTGTTCTGGAAACAAACTACTCGTATTGCAAGACATCACTTGTTTACTACGTTAAAATGTATAAGAAATGTTTGCTTGTCTTGCAGAACACTTGCAAAACAAATTACTCGCAATCCAAGGTTTTACTGTAGTTCTAGTCAATCAATTTTATTCTTTTATCATTTCAAGTGACTAGGAAAGAGCAAATGAATAAAAACAAACCTGATAAGCAGAGAAAGCAAAAAGTCTTGAATACCATTCTCTGACTTTGGGATTGGTGAAATCCAGGTAACAGGAGAGTCCTGTAGAAGCAGAAGGGTAGACAGCCTATTAGGAACAGTGGTCCTCATGATAAAGTGAGTTGTAAGGAAGAATATTAAAAGTGAAAGGTTGACACCTTACATCAAACGTAAAAGACAGCTGATAGAGAGGCATGATCTGGCAAGAAGAAAATGAAGCCAATGCTGGACTCCAGTGACAATCACTAGATCTTTCAACTCCAGGGGTCCAGGGGAATGCCAATGAACACATATCAAGACAGAGCCTGTCCCTCACTAAGATAACCCAAATAACAACAGCAAGTATTCTGGAGTGATCTCTCTGTTCTTAAAGAGAACAGAGAATTGTTCATAAGTGGTAAAAGGCGGGGGGAGGGGAAGGAGTGTATGGTTTTTTTACAGTGCATGGATTTGTGATAAGAGTGCTATGATATGATAGAGTGGTGATTTCCTTTTGTCCTTGAGGAGCCTCTACCAAAGTTTAAATGAATAATTTCTGAAATGAAGAATCCAGAGTTGCCAGAGGTAGCTGAGGTCACTCATGAAAGGCTGGGAAGTCAAAACTATGGGCTAATAGGGCAAAGAAGAATTACAGAGAGAGAGGGGCTACAGGACCTTTTGTCTTTCTTTTTCCTCCTCTGCTTTTCTCATTCTCTGGCTTTTCATTTTTATTTGCTTAGAGAACTAGCATGCCTCTGAGGTCTGCTTGTTTATTTTTCATTCATTCATTGACTGAGATAAATGTATACAAAGTACACTGTACCAGGTGTTATGAAAGCTATAAAAGAAGGCAATACCATCTTTTCCTGAAGGTGCTTAAAATATATCAAGAGACATCTACAAGGTATAAGAATGATGGGCATGAAACCTTCATTAATTCGGACTGAACGAGGGAAGTGATAGATGTATAAAGTAATATCTTACCAGGCCAGCACACCCCTTCAAAGTCTCCTCCTTCATGATTTCTCACAAAGAAGCCCTGTTCTTTGGCCTTAGCATACACTGAGTAGTCAGGGTCAATCTTGATGTGGGGGTCACTGATGACCACAAGCTGTCAGGATATAGAGGTTTGAAGGTCTCATCAGTTTCATATGAGCCATATGTTCATTGATATGTTTTCATCATAGTTCTGGGGTTCAAATTCTACTCCGAAACAACTACTATTATTAAAACATTTCAGACACCAGTAAAACCCTATAACCTTTCATGTGCTTATGGACATATAAACTGATGTCAAAACCAGGCCAATGCTCCTTTATAATGATTGCTGCTCAACCAATACACGTTCTTTATAAAATAGCATTTTTTAAGCTTCTATCTCTCTGTGGTGCTCAGTGCTATACATAAAGGATTAAGCAGGCAAGATTCCTGCTTCCTAGATATCTAGAGGCTTAGATAACACTGACAAAAGCAAACAGTAAGGAAACAGGAGAGTGGCATGTTAAAAACAAACCCAAAACCCAAAACCCAATGGTTTTGGAAGGAAGGTTATTGAGGAAGGAGGTTTGAGAAAAGCTGTTACCATAGCTCCATGTCTGTAGCGTCTGTTCCTGCCTTTCTAACACCATCACTTCCACCTATTATAGGGCCTCAAAACCATTTTATTTGGCTAAAACAACCTTCTAATCATCCTTCTCCATGTCCATTCAAATCTACTCTACATACTTGTTTAATTCTCCATTGCTCACAAACTTTTATGTTTAAATTTTTGATTGTGGTAAAATATACATAAAATTTACCATCTTAATCATTTTTAAGTATACAGTTGAGTAGTGTTAAGTACATTCACATTGTTGTACAATTAATGTCCAGAACTCTTTTTATCTTGTAGAACTGAAACACTAGACCCCTTAAAGAACACTCCCCATTCCCTTCTCCCGCCAGCCCTGGCAGCCACCATTCTTCTTTCTGCCTCTGTGATTTTGACTATTCTAGGTATTACAGATTAGTGACATCATATAGTATTTGTCTCTTAGTGACTGGCTTATTTCACTTAGCATAATGTCCTCATGGTTCATCCATGTTGTAGCATGTGTCAGAATTTCCTTCCTTTTTGAGGCTGAATAATATCCTGTTGTATGTATCTGCTGCATTTTGTTTACCATTCATCTGTTAATGGACACTTGGGTTGCTTCTACCTTTTGGCTATTGTGTATAAATAATGCTGATATGAACAAAGGTGTACAAATTTCTGTTCAGGTCCTTCTTTCAATTCTTTTGGGCATATACCCATAAATAGGATTGCTGGATCATAGGGTAATTTTATTTTCAATTTTTTGAGGAACTGTCATACTTTTTTTGATAGTAGTGGTACCATTTTACATTCCCTTATTAGTGCACAAGTGTTCCAATTTCTCTACATCCTCATCAACACTTGCCATGTTTCTGGGTGGTTTTTTTTTTTTTTTGGTGGTAGCCATCCTAATGGTATAAAGTGGTATCTCACTGTGGTTTTGATTTGCATTTCTCTAATGATTAGTAATGTTGAACATCTTTTCATGTGCTTGTTGGCTATTTGTATATCTTGGCAGAAATATCTATTAAGTCCTTTTCCAAATTTTCAATTGAATTGTTTGTTTTTTGGTTGTTGGTTGTAGGAGTTTATATATTCTGTATATTAACCTCTAATTCAAAAGCTTTTAATGTCTCCAAATGCATGCAAAGCAGCCTACAATAAGGTCAGATTCCCCATTACTCCAACCTTACTCATGCCTTGTTTTCTTTTTTTTTTTTTCAGCTGAGCCATCCTGCCACCTGTTGGCAGCTCAGCAGCAGCTCAGCCCGGGCCGGTAATCGAACCGGCAACCCTGTTCCTCAGAGCTCGCACTTTTGAGTGAGCTCTTAACCACCTGAGCCACTCGGCTGGCTCATGCCTTGTTTTCTTGATAAATGAGCCTGTGCGCTCCTTTCCAGATACCAATGGGTGCTTCAGCCTCTCGCTGCACTGCCCTCTTCCTTCTCCACTTCTCCCCATTTCCATTAGAAATTCATCCTTCAGGATGCAACCTTCTCTTGGTCCGCCCCCAACCCTGACGTTTCTTTGGCTGTTACGTTACTGCCCTATATTATGGTTGTCGTATACTTGCCTTTCCCCCACTCAATGTAAGAAAGACCCTCAAGGAGCTCATCTCCACATTCCTTTCATTTTTAGTGCACAGTTCCTCGAACATTCGAAGGCCTCGATAAATAACTGCTTATAAAGACAGGTTCTGGAGTCAGGCAGATCAGGGTTCAGATTCCTGCCCTGCCACTTATTCATTGTGTGCCTTGTGCAAAAGACAAAATTACTCTAAGCCTCGGTTTCTTCATCTGAAAAATGGGTAACAAAATCTACCTCATAATTTTGTGATGACTGGATGGAATAATGTGTTTTATCTTACTCTCATAATAAATACTTGATAAGTGGTAGTTATTTATTAACTGGGAAATTAGGACTTAACAGGATTGACTCTGGCCACTTGTGAAAGGCCTGGGAATCAACGGAATGGGTTGAAAAGGCAACTGTAATCTCAAGGAGAGAGACTGCAGGGGTCCACTTACATGATACATATGGAGTCCCCCTGCCTTTTCCTCTCTCCATTTTCTCACTCCCTCTTTTCATTATTGCTATTACCACCACCACCCCTGCATTACACACTTTCCAGTACCTTTCCCCCTTGCCCATTTTCTATTTTAGTTCTTTCCTTGGCCAGACTAACAGCTGGAGTCCATCAGGGAAGCATGCAAGAAAAATAGTGTCATAAAGAATCTGACTTTGTTTTTCATGGACTGTTAGGCTTTCGAGCCCCGCCACTCCCACTTGCCTTTTTGCCCACATCTGTGCATGCCGACAAAGCCCTGATGCTCCCTCCTTTGGTGCCAGCAGGAAGTTCAAACCAGACAAGCCTGGATACATGCACAGGAATCTTCACCCTAGTCTAACCCTCTCACCACCTTTCCCAGCTCTCTCAAGCCAATTTCAAACTTGCATGACAGCCAGCCTAGCTCCCCACAGAATGCCTCGCTATGTGACTAATTAACCTTTTCATACCCTCTTGATATCAGTGTGAGCTCATCAATCTTGATATCAGAACCAAATTTTGCATGAGTTAGAGAGAGAGGGGTATTCATCACATCACTACAGGGTGGCCACAACAAATGGGCCTGAATGCTGGGCCTCTTCATCCTTATGGGGACCTGGACAACTAGGGATGAATGGCGGCACCACCTTTTCACCATTGCTTTTCTGTTATCACGGCTTCAATTACATTTGAAGGTACTATTTTCATGGGCACTTTTTTTTTTTAATTAGATAGTTCTCCACTAATGTGCCAAGGCAAGCTTTAAAATGCTTTATAATGAAAAGGCTCAGAAGTGTTGGCTTATTTTACCTTACGTTTTTTGTTCTGGAGCAGCTCTTGCATCCTTTCGGGGTTTGGGAATCTTTTCTTGTCCCAGGTGAAGTACCTTTTGCCCTCAGTGTGCTCTATGTCCAACCATATGACATCGTAAGGAATGTCATGTTTGTCAAATCCTGCATCCACTGCTTTTACATCCTGCTCATCTTCATAGTTCCAGCGGCACTGATGGTACCCCAAGGAGAAGAGAGGGGGCATGGCTTGTGTGCCTAAAAGAGGAAGATGACAACTGAGCCAACTGTTGCCACAATGATAACTCTACATTGGATAAACATTTCCTAAATGCCCACAGGATCCAAGCACTAAGCTTGGTACTTAGAATTGTCAAGAAGAAAGCATACTCCCTTCCCTCAAGAAAGTAACCATTTGGGGCCGGCCGAGTGGCGCGATGGTTAAGAACTCGCTTGGCGGGCCGGCCGAGTGGCGCGATGGTTAAGAACTCGCTTGGGATGCCAGAGGGCCCCGGTTCGGATCCCACATATGAGGGCCAGTAACACTGCCCT